CACGCAAATGTCAAGGCCCAGACGCCGTGAGGCCGCACATTTGCGTGCGTCCAGTGCCAAGAGGTTAAGAACAGGCTTCTGGTGTTTTGTTTCTCTTTCAGCCTGTAAATGGTTCTCTTCTAATATGCCTGTAAACACCTACTGTATGTGTGCATGGACACATATGCTTATATAGAGATACTTTTACAGGCTGAAAAAAAAAAGCGCCAAACGTCTGTAAAAGTGGCATTTATTTAGGTCCAATGTGTATCAGGCCTAGTTATATTGTGTATAACACAATAGTGATACATTTTAAATACTTTTTTTTGTGTAGCAATGCAGTTCTGTCAAAAATATTTTCCTGCATCCACATTACATTACATTACACACTAGAAGTGCTAAAAAAAAACCTAAGGCTTAGGCTGGCTTCACACTTGAGCGATTTGTAGTTTGAAGCTCAAAGCTACAAAACGCTTGAGGATAAAAAAATCAATTATTCTCAATGGAGATGGTTCACATCTCCACTCCAAGTCACCTGAAGCAAAATGCCTGAAGCTCACACAAGTTCTAGAGCTTTTTTTGTCGATCAATATAGGCAGATTTTTGTGTTTTATAGCGCTTTTAATTTCATAGAAATTAATGGGAATGCACGATTCTCACTTTTTTTTTTGTGCTTTTGCACATGTTTGCATGTGACTTTCTGCTCAAATGAAAAAAAAAATTGTAATAATATATGCATAATTAACTGTAAAATAAAGGAAATAAATACATAAATAAATGAAAATCAATATAAATAAATGGTAATTAACCCCTAAACCCCACTTAATTTATGTTTTAACTGAAAACATATTGTTGAGTTGGAATAGGTAAGATTAAATTGTTGATGTTAATTCATTTTTTTAAGTACTAGTTTTTGACACAAAAAGAGTAAGTGTGAGTTTTAAAGTTTGTTCTTCTGTTGTATTTTAATTGAAAAGCTAAATGCATAATGCTGCATTCATTTTTTTTTTTTTTGGTAACTTTGGTAACAATTTGTTTTTAGAGTTCACCTAATGCTGCATAATTCCTGTTCTAGCTATTCATAATACATATAATCAGCAGCTTATTCAGCCTTCATTGTAAGGCTGGAAATATTTTCATTAATAGGCTTGGCATTTATTTTAGCTGGTTTCTCTTCTCAGTAAGTAAACCAATGCCACCAAAATTCCTACTTTTACTACTGGCAAAAATGTGCTTGTAGACTTTGCTTCTTTTCCATTTATGATGTTGTATTACAGCCACCTCCACTTTGAGCATCTTTAATTCCTCTTTTAGTTTCCTATTCTTAAAGGCATAGCCCCCTTTTAGAAAAAAAATATAAATACACCCAGACACTTTCACCCCTTCCTGCTCAAGCCAATTTTCAGCTTTTAGTATTGTCACACTTCGAATGTCATGCAACGCTGTACCCAAATTCAGTTTTTATAATTTTTTGAGACAGATACAGCTTTCTTTTGGTGATAATTTTTTTGTATAGAAATGAAAAAATGACAAAAATTTTGTAAAAAAAGTGGAAAGTAGAGAGTCCAAGGTATTTAGCAAGAGGCATGGCGAGTGTTTCACAATTTTTTTACATACTATCACCAGAGCAGTACATCATTATCATATGGCTTGTGTGGCAGTGATCAGGGATACTAACTGGTGACAGTATGTAAACAAAAAATACATTTTTTAAACATTTTTCTTTTTTTTTCAATATATTTTTTTTTTTTACAATTTTTTTTTACATACTGTGACCATAGTGTTACCATAGTGACACTGTTCTACTCTGGGAAGGTGATCAGGATCTCTGTTATAAGCAAAAAAGTTTTATGAATAACATCCCTACATTGCCAGTGTGTACTATTGTGATTGCTATGATTGGCCACAGCTACAACATGGTACATGTACAGATTTTGCCAGCAACATGATCACTTCTTCATAAACAGTCTTTATTAGTACAACACGAATATGATGTGATCCATAAAATTTGACACGTTTTGCCCAAAGCCTTCCTTAAAGCATACATGAAACAAATCCAAGTATATATATATATAACAGCCCACCAATATAACAGTAACATCTTAATTAAAAACATTCATTGATTGATAATTGATATTGTATGGTACAGATGCACTGTATGTCCCTGTCTGTACCTTGCGATTGTAGCAATCGTACGTACAGAGATGGACGCGGTCATCCATCTTGCTCAAGACCCTCCATCTTGTATCTCTCTTTCCCTCCAATCCCCCTCCTCAGAAATGTGGTCTGAGTGTGTATGCTAAATAATAAATTACCAGAAAATTGATCTGGTAACAGCAATTTACATATAAAATATCTCTGGTAATATTAACTTACATATTATATTTTTTAATTCTGTTAATATAACGAATGTATTTTTGTAAACCCAAGCTATTGGTATTTGTGCATGCCACTTTATTTATTTTTATTTTTAATTGTTCTTTTAAATCGGTATTTAATGAGCTCTTTGAGCATTCATTCGAATTAATTTACAATGGTCGTGTAGATATATATTTTTAATTTTTTTTTTTTTTTTTTTTTTTCTTCATTCATTTTATTAATGATTTACTTTTTATTTATTTATTTTTATTTTATTTTTATTTTTATTTTTATTTTTATCTATTTTTTATATTTAATTTTTTTTTTTTTTTTTTTTTTTTTGGAAACGCATGAGGGAACATGTACCCTCATGCGTTTTTTTTTTTTTTTTTTTTTTTTTTCTTCATTATTTATTAATGATTTACTTTTTATTTATTTTATTTTTATTTTATTTTTATTTTTATTTATTTTTTATATTTATTTTTTTTTTTTTTTTTTTTTTTTTTTTTTTTTTTTATGTTTTTATATATCTACTTAATAAGGAAGCCCACTAAGATTAATGGGTTTTTAATATTTATGATTAATAAAGTTTATGATTTGGTGTTATTGCACCATTAAAGATGTGGTTCATATAGGCTTAAATATATAATTTGTTTACTCCTATATGTGTATATCTTGAATATGACATATGGAGATTTATATCTGGTATCCAGCACTAGAATTCGTATATGGGATAGATTCATGTATGTGAGAGCAGGACTCTAATAAGATGTCCGCCGTATGCCTGCTCTCACAATGGAATCCAATTAGGTTTTTTTTTTTTTTTTTTTTTTTTTTTTTTCTCTATAAATACCATTGAGTCACCAGGGGGCGGTAACCCTGATGAAGTCACGACGCACGTGACGCTACGCGTCGGTTTGTCTACTTCCTGGTGACGTATGTGGCCATATTGGATTCCCCCAGGTGCATGCATATCTACCCACAGGCTGGGAAAAACGCTTTTTTATGGAAAGGAGCATGTGAGTGGAAAACTTTGTAATTTTTAACTTTGCCTATTAAATTTACTACACTATGGAAGGCTTTCTTGTCTTTTTATGAGTTGCATAAGAGAGGAGGAGGAATAAGGAGTCTGCCAGAGGAATACACCACTGAGGTGGTAACTGCTTTGAGGCCCTGTGTGGGTCGAGGAAGGGAGGTGAGCAGGCATTGCTGCCATTTGAGGGAGAGTACTTGCACTTAGAAGTGGAGATCACGTGTGTGTTCCAGCTTAAAGCACAGTCACATGCATGGAATATTTTTTTCACCTTTGATATTGTCTTGTTCACCTATGGCATATATCATTTATGTATAATTTAGACACCATTGTATGTGGCCAATATTCTGTTTTCACGTATATATATATTCTGTTCATTATATTTGATTTATGCACTATATATTTAGTTTCCTAATGTGTGTTATTTAGCTATTTTGGTTGACACTATTTTTTCTTTTCACTAGAGGGAGTCAAACACACATTTATTATATATAGTGGTCACTTGATTTATAATTACACTATATGGAGATACATGATTGCATTCATGTGATACAAGCGCTTCACTAATTTTTAATTTTATTTTGAGTGTGTATGCTGAGTTCAAAAGGCATCAGGACCCAGCTGGAGAGCTTCATGGTTATAAACCCCAATTAGCCTGGCCCCAGTATGTCTGTGAGACTCTTGCTTGGAAAGGATCATAAAGCCATAAACCAGTCCTTCACTGGGCTTCAAAGACATTCCAGCTAGCCGTAAAACAGACTCACATTTAAAAACCCACTTTTCCATATAATTTTATATCTTAAGGTAGGAAATAATTACATAAACATAAAGCAAATATTCAGATAGCTCAGTTTAATACAAGTCGCCTGATATCTTACACCCCCTAGTTGAAGTCTACAGGAGAGCAGAAAGCATATATTCGGATAGCTCAGTTTAATGTGAGTCATCTGATATCTTACACCCTTAGTGAAAGTCTACAGGAGAGAAGAAAGCCACATAGTTCTAGCTGGAATAGTCAAACATGGCATGTTTGATATCTAGACGTTCAGCAGATGATTCTGCATATTAATCTACCACTGGATGGAATATTACATGTACCTAGGGAAGGTTATTGCCCTGGTATAACTTGTGAGAGATTTTGGTTCTAGCCTGAGTCCCCCGCCTACAACACCCCTACCCAAATGAGGCGATTGGTTTTCTGCTTTAACCACTAGCCTACAGGGCACTGTCACCCCCTTCGTGCCCAGGCCAATTTCCAGCTTTCAGCACTGTTGCAATATGAATGACAATTGCGCGGTCATGCAACACTGTACCCATATGAAATTTTTATAATTTTTTTTGTGACAGATAGAGCTTTATTTTGGTGGTATTTTATCACCTCTGGGTTTTTTATTTTTTCTTAAACCAACCAAAAACCACTGAAAATTTAAAAAAAAAGTTTTTTCTTAGTTTTTGTTATAAAATTTTGTAAATAAGTGATTTTTCTCCTTCATTGATGTGTGCTAATGAGGCTGTACTGATGGGCACTGATAGGCTGCACTGATGGACACTGATAGGTGGCACTGATGGGCACTGATGAGGAGGCACTGGTAGTTGGCACTGATGGGCATTGACAGGCATCACTGATGGGCACTGAAAGGCAGCACTGATAGGTGGCACTGATAGGCAGCACTGAGAGGTGGCACTGATATGCAGCACTGACTGGCACTGATAACCGGCACTGACTGGCACTGTTACGTGGCACTGACTGGCACTGTTAGGCAGCACTGATAGGCAGCACTGACGGGCACTGATAGGTGGCACTGATGCACACTGATAGGCGGCTTTGACTGGCACTGATAGGCGGCACTGACTGGCACTGATAGGTGGCACTGATTGGCAGCACTGATAGGTGGCACTGACTGGCATTGATAGGTGGCACTGACTGGCACTGATGGGTGACACTGAAAGGCAGCTCATATGGGCTCTTTCTTCGGCTCTTTCCGTGGATCTGTGATCCGCTGTGTCCGAGGGACACAGCGCACCACTGATCGCTGTGCTGCGTGCTCCAGGAGCCACGCATGCATGGTTAAAATGGGAGGACGTCATATGACATCCTCCCAGAATGAGAGAACCACCTTGCGTCCATCATATTACTATATGGTGGGTGGGAGGCGGTTAAGGAGACACCCTGCTGAGTTCCTAGAAAAAGGCTGTTGTGCTTGGAGCAGTGAGTTGAAGTTGAAGAATTCTCCCTTTTAACATCTGAACCAACTTTGGGAGAAAGGCACCCTTTTGCTCAGGACCCTTGAACCTGCTTAACCCAGGACTTTTGGCAAGGCCTCTACCTCTCTAAACTTCTTTCTGTTATCTCTTTGCTGTGTTATTGCTCACTGTATTTATATATATATAGCTACATCTTTTTCTGTAAATATTTTTATTGCACCCTTTTGAACTTTTTAGTAATAAATCCTATTATCTGAAAAGTGTTGAACTGTTTCTAAAGCTCTTTAATGCAAACTAGGAATCTCTGTCTCTGAAGAGCGCTACTGTGTGTTTTAAACCTCTATATATCTCTGCCTGCGGTATACAGACGATTATTCAAACATCATAGTGTTAATGCTAATATTGGCGAGTTTCCTCCTTTTCTCTACAAAAAGGCGGTGGTGGCAGTGTGAAGGGTTAATTGCATAATTAACCTGACCCAGTAACAATCACTCTCAGGCTGCAGGTACATAGATTGTGGTCCAATAGCTGGAAAATCTTTGTGCAGAGTGCAGCTGAGCATGGTATTGTTACGCACGTGACAGCGCGGTTTGAGATTGGTTAGTACTTCGGTCACGAGTTGGTGAGAAGGGCTGGGGGTTTGACGCTGCGACCGCCACAGCGAGCACTGTGACCATAAATAAAAGAAATGCAGCGCTCTTAATAAAATATAATGATAAACACAGTCCGGTGAGAACAGTGCTCCTTGATTCCCAGTGCAAATGGTAGAAATTCACACTAACCAGAACGCGCATGGGTAATACGCATGTGTATATATATATATCCTGAAGATCCCCTCTCCTCTCAGGTCTGGTCAGAAATTCCACCTCTGAAGAAATTCCACCTCTGCGTGCGCACGAAACGCGTCAGTTGGAACCCAGGACGCCGTTGACACTAAGCCGTCGGTGCCACGAGGAGGCCCGGCGGCCATCTTGACTTCTTAAAGGGTCAGTGTGTTTGTTCATACTTAGCTATGTGATACTCATTATGCACCTGTGTTTTCTGGAATAAAAGTTTTACCTACTACACTATGAGTGCTTCCCTATGTCTCCTGTGAGGAGCTTCTTCCATCCTTGCAGCCCTGGTGATCCCTGTGTCAGCTCCTTTGGAGGCTTATCCAGATTGATACTGCTCTGACCTGCTGGACCACTTTCTAACCACATGAGGGCGTAGGATCTCCATCTTTTCCAGCTATTTCCCTGACCAGACCTGAGAGGAGAGGGGATCTTCAGGATATATATATATACACATGCGTATTACCCATGCGCGTTCTGGTTAGTGTGAATTTCTACCATTTGCACTGGGAATCAAGGAGCACTGTTCTCACCGGACTGTGTTTATCATTATATTTTTTTAAGAGCGCTGCATTTCTTTTATTTATGAGTTTTGGGACTTTTATGCGTTTTCCTTTAATGTTCAGCTGCTTTATATTGTAGATGAGCGCTTACTATATATTTTATTATCCTCTGATCACTGTGACCAATCACAGAGACCACCACAATGGTACACAATGAATGGCTATGAATGAAAGCCATTCATTGTGTACAACTGTCATGTGATAGCATGTTACTAAGCCTAGCCTGGTACAGCAATCTGTCATCCACTATGTCTGGTGGACACAGCGGGTGACAAAATCTTACCATAGTGTGGTCGCTAGGGCATGTGTGAGGCACTTGACTTAGAGGCCATCATATGATGTCCACCCATGATTAGAAAGCTCCCACACAGCCATATTTTAACTATAGGCCGGAAAGGAGTAGTTAAAATTCTGCATTTGTAAATTTTTGGTATTTAGGCCTACAGCTACACTAAAGCCATGACCAGTGTGTTGCAAGTGCACTGCTGAAGTTCCGTCAAACTCTTCCCCTGGCTCAGGTACAAGGGTGGAAGATGGGACTTGTAGTCATTGTTTGTAAACAATCCCTGACCTAGATGTGGGTGGAGCCATGCACAGCTATGCTGAATTCAAAACATCACAGACGTCTGTAGGGAGAAGCACCCCACAATTCAGGTAAGTGGGGAGGCAGTTTGAGGATGAGGTATATGAAACCAAGTTTTATGTTGCATCCTACATATGGGTGTAACATAGAACATGATGAAAAAAGTAGATTATGATTTCATTGCCTTGGTAATTTGCTTTCATTAGTCAAGCTTTCTTCATTCTTTGAAACAGTAATATGTATAATTTTTTTACAGTATAGGATTTTTATCCATATTCATAAACCCTACCCCAACCTAAAGAATCTACCTATTTGAATACTGCTTACTATATATTAGATTAGTTACCTTCATCTTAGCTTGCAGAATCCTTCTTGGTTTTTCATAAGAATTTTTTTCAAGCCTTCGAGTACATTTCTCTATTCAATGTAAAGATACAATGGACATTATTTATTTATTGTTGCCACTTGTTCAGCTTATTAGACCTTTGTATTTAAGTCATCATTTGGGTCATCCTCTTCATCTTCATCATTTGGGTCATCCTCTTCATCTTGATAAAGTTGCAGTCTTGCAATAAAACATGTTTTATGGGGTTTCCCCCTTCTTAGGAGCTGATCTGCTAATAAGCAACAAACCGAGTTCTGTGCACCTTGACTTGTTGTTTCACGCATTTTAGCTCCTGCTGCTGCTTTGACAGCAGTTATATATAGCTGGAAACAACATGTAGCAATATCCTTTAAAATCTGCATTTTTTTGCTAAAAAATACTTAAAACCCCTGAACATTATATATTTTCTTTAAGCAGAGGCCCTAGCTATTGCAAATTTTATGTCACAGGATATTTAGGCAGACTTTTTTCACACAAACTTTTAAGACAAAAACACATATAAATGAACTTTAGTGCAAACAAACACTATATAACAACAATTTTTTGGGCCATTTTGTTGTGGCCACTCCTTGACCTAAAGCACCCTTGGGAGATCATACGCTGTTTGATCTACCTGTAAAAAGGGGTCATAACCCACTGGGGAGTGCACTTTTTTTTTTGGACACAAGTGGTGAAGAGTTGGGGAGATTGGGCTGATCCCGCATCCATTGAAGGACTTACATTATTGTGTAAATGGAAAAACAGAAAAAGGGCGCACAGACCTAGTGCATTATCGTTTAAAATATTTATTGAAGAAACAAAGTAAGTATCATACTTACAATAGACATAAAAACACAGGCATGTCAAACTAAACAAGATGTACAGTGGGGATCGAAAGTTTGGGCACCCCAGCTAAAAATTTGTATTAATGTGCATAAAGAAGCCAAGAAAAAGATGGAAAAATCTCCAAAAGGCATCAAATTACAGATTAGACATTCTTATAATATGTCAACAAAAGTTAGATTTTATTTCCATCATTTACACTTTTAAAATAACAGAAAACAAAAAAATGGCGTCTGCAAAAGTTTGGGCACCCTGCAGAGTTAATATTTTGTACTGCCCCCTTTGGCAAGTATCACAGCTTGTAAACGCTTTTTGTAGCCAGCCAAGAGTCTTTCAATTCTTGTTTGAGGTATCTTTGCCCATTCTTCCTTACAAAAGTCTTCCAGTTCTTTGAGATTTCTGGGCTGTCTGTCACGCACTGCTCTTTTAAGGTCTATCCATAGATTTTCAATTATGATGAGGTCAGGAGATTGTAAAGGCCATGGCAAAACTTCAGTTTATGCCTCTTGATGTAATCCCCCGTGGATTTCGAGGTGTGTTTAGGATCATTATCCATTTGTAGAAGCCATCCTCTCTTTAAATTCAGCTTTTTCACAGATGGCATCAAGTTACCATCCAAAATTTGCTGAAATTTTATTGAATCCATTTTTCCTTCTACTCGTGAGATGTTCCCTGTGCCACTGGCTGCAACACAACCCCAAAGCATGATTGATCCAACCCCATGATTAACAGTTGGACAGAGGTTCTTTTCATTAAATTCTGTGCCCCTTCTTCTCCAAACGTACCTTTGCTCATTCCGGCCAAAAAGTTCAATTTTACCCTCATCGGTCCACAGAACTTGTTTCCAAAATGCATCAGGCTTGTCTATATGTTCATTTGCAAAGTTCAAACGATGATTTTTGTGGTGAGGACGTAGAAGAGGTTTTCTTCTGATGACTCTTCCATGAAGACCATATTTGTACAAGTATCTCTTTATAGTGGAATAGTGTACCACAACTCCAGTGTCTGCCAGATCTTTCTGGAGGGATCGTGCAGTCAAACGTGGGTTTTGAATTGTTTTTCTCACAATCCTGCGAGCTGTTTTGTCTGATATTTTTCTTGGTCTTCCAGATCATGCTTTAACTTCCACTGTTCCTGATGACTGCCATTTCTTAATTACATTCCGAACAGAGGATATTGACATCTGAAAATGCTTTGCTATCTTCTTATAGCCTTCTCCAGCTTTGTGAGCGTCAACTATTTTCAGTTTCAGTTTTCTAGACAACTGCTTAGAAGAACCCATGGTGCTGATTGTTGGGGCAAGGTCAGATGAGTCTGGGCATTTAAAACCTTTGAGATTGACATCACCTGATCTTCCCAGACGATGATTGAGAACAATCCATGACACTGGCAGGTCTCAGCTTGGCAAAGGGGGCAGTGCATGCTATAAATTCTGCAGGGTGCCCAAACTTTTGCTGACGCCATTTTTTTTTGTTTTCTGTTATTTTGAAAGTGTAAATGATGGAAATAAAATCTAACTTTTGTTGACATATTATAAGAATGTCTAATCTGTAATTTGATGCCTTTTGGAGATTTTTCCATCTTTCCTTGGCTTCTTTATGCACATT